GTCACCGCTGGGTCACAGGGCCGTGCACCGTCACCGCTGGGTCACAGGACCGTGCACCGTCACCGCTGGGTCACAGGGTCATGCACTGTCACTGCTGGGTCACAGGGCCGTGCACTGTCACTGCTGGGTCGCCCCAACAGTAACTGACCTGTGGGCCTCACCACTGCCGTAGCTCAGGAAATCCAGGTACCTCGACTCCCACATCAGTGCCGTACACATGAGAGACTTTTGTCGGCAATATGTGGAGGAGATATCAATAAAATGGCCAAAGGAATTGTGTGGCTGACCCTTCAAGCAGACCTGCCCTGCAAGAGGCAGATTCTGTTGATCGGAGAGGACTGAGTTGAATTGAGGGGAACCCTAGGTCTGAATCCTTACAGCAGCAGCATTGGTTGGGCGGGGCGGGAAATGCTGTCCTTGACCTACAGTTACTGTTGCGATCTTTTATTCAGGTGAAAATCTTTTGTGCAGATGTCAATTTCAAGGGGCAACGATTAATCACAGCACTTCATGAGCCATGAAGCACTCACCCTTATGACTCTCGAATACATTGACAAGAAAGCTGGCTTCTTCAGTGATCCTGTCCTCAATGGATTTCTTGCCCATGCCAAAGCCTCGGAGAGCTGAGATCACAAACTTCCGGTTGTCCTGCCACAACTTCCCATCACTGAATATAACCCCTGAAAGTGACACAAGGAAAGCTGATCAAATATTGTGGGCAGTTCTGCTGTGACTGCGGCCAAACCCCAGATCTCCAATCCCCTTTACTTTCCTGAGAACTAGAACATCCTAAAACCAAGAAGAAGGCCACTCAGCCCATTGTATCCATGAGTGCCCTTTGGAGGAGCAATCCCATTGGTCTCACTTCCCCAAAATTCCTCTGACACTGTATCTGGTCTATTCCCTTTTAATATTTCCATTGAAACCCACTTCCACAACCCTCCCAGGTACTGCATTGCAGATGATGATAGAGTCATAGAATCCTCTATAGTGTGGAAACAGGCCCTTTGGCGCAACAAGTCCACACTAAACCTCAGAGCATCCCATCCAGACCCATCCCCCTATAACTCACCTAATCTACACACCCCTATGGGCAATTTAGCATGGCCAATCCACCTAACCTGCACATCTTTGGACAGTGGGAGGAAACTAGAGCACCCGGAGGAAACCCACGCAGACACAGGGAGAACATGCAAGCTCCACACAGACAGTCGCCCGAGGGTGGAATTGAACCCAGTCCCTGGAGCTGTGAGGCAACAGTGCTAACCCACTGAGCCACTGAGCCACCGTGCCGCCCCAAATCTCACCCTCCCTCTGATTTTTCTAACCAATAATCCTCCCAATTTCATTGTTTGTCGGTTCGTATTTGAGATGGTCCTATGCTAGAACAAGTCAACCCGGTAAAAAAAAAGTTTGTTGATCTAATATTGACCAGCTCGGACAAAGTTCACGTGAAGATTAATGTTCTGGCACTTGTGCAATATTTATGGAGCTCGAGGAATTGTTGACACATTGCAGTTAGGTTGGTAAAGCACACAAAAAGTTTGGGAGATTTCCAGGACTATTCCTCATGCCAGATGATTTGATGATTACCATTATCTTGAGGCAGGAATGCAGTTCTGTGAGACGGGAGGGTATCGGCCAATCTTGGCAGCAAATAAGAAGCAGGAAGGTAACAGGGTTTGGCTGTCAACTCAGCAGCTTAACCAAGGGAGGGATGTGTGGTCTGTTATCAGTTTGCAATCTGATCGCTGCAATTTAATGTGACAGGAGGAAGCTCGGACACATTCGGGTTTTGGAAGAATGCAAAAGTTGAACTGCATATATACAACTGCTTATCTTGTGTGTATCTGTAAATGTAATGATTTTAATTGACACTAGTCCTCCTCTCATGCAGCACAAATATTGGCTCACATTACTTTGGCATTTTCTTGTGAAATGCAAGATAACCGATTGACAGAATGTGTATGTCTTCAGCAATACTAAAGGAGGTTATGTTGAAATTTGATAAAAACACTTGTTTGGCCTCAAGGGTAGCATTGTGTTCAATTCTGAGCACCCACCACATTGTTGGCAAATGCTTTAGCAAGCGTAGTCACTAGGTGAGTGATCGCTTGTTGAAGGTGGTGTTGTTCACCTTGGAGAAGAGAAGGCTGTATGAGATTTTGGATGGAGATATCCAAAATCACGAGGGACCTAGACAGAGTAGATGAAGAGAAACTGTTTCCCATTGGCTGGAGGACTGAGAACCGGATGGCATTAAGCTTATACTATTGGCAAAAGAAACAAAGTGGGCTTGCAGACAGACATATTGAGTGGTGATGATCAGAAATGCCTGATCAATGGAAAATCAATGGAAACTTTCAAAAGGGAATTGGATAAGCACCTGATGAGAGAAAGACTTTTCAGGGCTGCAGGGAAAGGGCAGGGGAGAAGGACCAGTTCATTTGCAATCGCTGATAAACTTTGGCTTAATCCAGGAATATTGGGAATGATAAATTGAGGGAAATAGTGGCCAAAAGGCTACAGATCAATTCCAGACCATTTTGTGCCGCTTTGATCAGCGTAATACGACGAGCTGAGCGACAGGGTGGAAACGACCAAAGAGTAACACATAAGCAGATGAACGAGCGAAGTTACCATTTCGGAATGAAAAATCGTCATATATTGGGATGCGTGGCCTCCCAGTGAATAGATCAGCATGATTCACAAGAGCATCTTTCACTGCATCGTAGCCGGTCAACACCACTGCCTTCAACGGGCCAATCTCCACTGAAAATACGCTTCCATATTTCTCCGCGAGCTAAGAAAGAGAGAGTTGTTTCATTAAAGTTTCATTTCTGGTCGGATATAGCACAGTTGGGGGTGAAAAATGAAGGAAAGAACATTATTCCCAATTGCCAAGAATTTGATGCCCACCTGTATTTTCCCTTGAGAAGGTGATGGTTGGCTGCCTTCTTGACCTGCTGCAGTACAGGTAGGTAAACCTACAATGGTGTTGGGGAAGGAGTTCCAGAATCTTGAAGATAGGAACAGTAGGAGGCTATTCAGCCCCTCAAGCCCTTCTCAACTATTTAATGAGATCATGGCTGCTCTTTGGCTGAACCGAACATTCCTGCCTTTGGCCCAGATCCCTTCATACCTTTGCTTCACAAAAATGTATGTATCTCAAATTTAAAATGAACAACTGGGGCCTGCATGCACTGCCATTTGTGGAAGACAGTTGTAAACCTCCACAACCCTCTGTACGTGGAAGTGCTTCTTAATATCTGTCCTGAATGGTCTGACTGTAATTCTCAGACTGTGCCCTCTAGATCTCCAACCCGAGGAAATACTTTATCTTTAACTACCCTGTCTTTTCCTGTTAATACCTTCAAGATTTCAATCAGATCACACTTTAAGCTTCTAAATTCTAGAGCAAACAGGCCTTATTTGTATAATCTCTCCACATAACTTAATGCCTGAAGTCCATGTATTGCTCTTGTAAACTGTGTTTGTACTCCTTCGGAGGCCAATACATCTTTCCTAAGGTGTGGTGCCCAAATCTGCTCACAGAACTCCGAGTGGGGTCGAACCTAGATTTTGTACAACTGCAACACACCTTCTGCATCCTTTTTTACTCCAGTTCGTAGATATAAAGGCCAACATTCCATTAGTTTTCTTGATTATTTTCTGCACCTAATCATGGCATTTCAAAGATCAATGCACCCAAGCCCTCAAGTCTCTTTGAACATCCACTGTTGAGCCAGTGACACTGAAGGAACAGCGATATTCTATCTTTTTAGATTCAGGTCTAACTTATTTCCATGAAGTCATGTTCTCTTGTGGCTATCTGCATCAGCAACTCACCAATTTTGTTCACCACACTCCATGCGTTCACAGGCAGGCACAATGATGGTCATTTAGATCTTACTGCTATTCCTCTTACTCAGAATGTGAGTAATATCTTATCATTTTTCATTCTCGTGCTACTCTTCCAATTCTTGTTTATCCCTCTCTAGCGTTATCTCATCATTCCCATTCCCCCTGAAAATTTAATCTGTTACCCTCCTCAACAGCCTTAGCACAGTGGCCTATCAGGGCGCTGGTGCAGCCTCTATTCAGGTGTAAATTGTCTGGCTGGTACAGGTCTCATCTGCTCCATGATTTGTTACTAATGTCCCAGGAATCTAAAGCCCACCCTCCTGTGCCATATCCCCTGGTATGTATCCATCTGCTTATCCTCCTGTTTGTTTCCTGACCAGTGTGTGGCCCTGTGAGTAATCCGGAGATCGCTGCTTTTGAGGTTCGGCTGGTGATTTCCCTTCTCAGTGGCCTTAACTCTATCTGCAGGGCCCCATCCCTCCTTGCGCCTATAGGATTGGTGCATAGCCACTTCATCTTCTGCAGCCTGGAACCGTGGAGACAACACGCTGCCCTGGATTCCCAGCTGGGGATGCAGAAGCACCGAACTTTTCTCCCAAATTCCTCAGAGCTGTTAGTTTCCCGATCTTCCCCCTGCAAGTCCCTCCCCAAACCCATTCCCGACCTTGGACAGCTGAGGCCGCCTAGTGGTGGTATGGACCCATGGACTTGAAATTGCATTGGGAAACTGATTTTGTTTTGCAAGAAAGTAATCAGTGCTCATTTTGTTCATGATTATGGACTGAATTTTAAGATTTTTTTCTGTTCCCGCCCCCAGCTACACTTGATGGAAACTGATTGGGTCTGGGATATTCCTTAAAGGAACAATCACTATCACAGATCAATCCCTTCCCTTTGCGCTGACCTTCCTTCCGATTTAATCAGGAGATGAATTCAAATGTTTTCCTGAACTCTTACAATATCGATATCTCAGGTTATAATTGCCTGAAAAAACCCCCAGAAGTCTTTGATTCTACCGATCTTTTTCCATCTTTGTATATCTATCCCGTCTATGTTTTAGATATCTAACTGTAAGTACCTGATAAGCTGTCAAATAGGCTTTGGGTTTTAGAGCCAGAGAAAAAGTTGCAGGACAGAAAGAGGCCATTCGGCCCACTGTCCTGCGTCGGTCTGGTTTCACGTTACGTGTTAATTAAATTGAACATTTACCAGCTTGTTCACACTGCCAGGCTCTGTGAGGTGCCAGAACTTTGCAGGTGTATTGAAGTTTTTTTCTTGCCTTTCGTTTTGTTCAGAGTCAAAATCCGATCAAAGAGCGGAGATCCCAGACTCTCAGAACACAGCCCCAGAGCTAACAGATTCCCGGATCGCGGATTACAGATCTGTTTGGGGGTGGAATCCCTCCGTTTGTATCTCCAGTCTCTATGAGCCTCTCCTTGGGAGCTGTTCCTTTACACCGCCCTATCCCTCCGACATTCCCCAATGAAGGATTCTCACCTACCCCCATGAGAGACCAGTCCAGCCTCCTGAGGTCCAGTTGGTGCAGGTTCCCGATCAGAGGAAGCGGAGTCGGTCCAGGAGGGAAATTCCTGGGAACTCTCCGCCGGATAACAGAAACGATCAGCAAAAGAGAGAGAGCCAGCAGCCACAGGACCGAGGTGTAGCCTGTGGGAAAGTACTTAAATAATTCCATTGTCTCCGAGTGCCCACAAGCCAGTGATGTTAGAGCGTGTTACATCCTTCAGTCCAGTCCTCCACTTCCAAAGACACGCCTCTTTTTCCTTGTTTGTCTGAGTGTTTTTAAGGCCCACCTTCCCTGTTTAATTCCATTGAACAGGTCGGTACACAGTAACCTGCCCTTCATTATAGGACAACCTCTGGGCACAGAAATGGTGGAGCCCTGACCTGGAGTTATAGGGCAAACCACACTGAAGCACAGCAAGAGTCCATTCAGGGAGAGAAGTGTCAATATCCACATCCCGATCAGGCTGGGCTTGCCTCATGCGAGCGGATGAACCTGAGATGGTTTATTGGCTTTGGTCTGGATCCCAGGAAAAGAGCAAAGAGATGGAAAGTGCCATCACCGATGCCATCCGGTCACACGTACTTAGCAATAGCCTGCTCACCGATGCCCCCAGTTTGGGTCGTGCCAGTGTCACTCAGATCCTGAGTTCATTCTCCCCTTTATGGTACCAAACGCCTGGTTCAAGACCACCCAGTGGGGCTGGATTATATCCCCGAGTTTGCAATTGAAAAGAACAGCACAGAAAATTTGCCCCATGTCACGGCCAATATTTATCTCACAATCCAAATTGCAAACAAAAAACACAAATCATCTCATCTTTACCACGTCGCTGTGTGTGGGAGCAGGTGGGGTGTAAATCCAGTGCAGGTAGCTGTTGCAACTGCTAAAACCTTTCAAGAATTGATTGACATAGTTAAGGAACATTATGGCCCCAAGCCTCCTCTAATTCTGAGATGCTGTCACTTTTACTCGGCAATTCGAGAAGCAGTATCAGGATTTTTGACTTGGTAAGGATGGCTGGCAGAAGCTTTTGAACCTGGTTTAACCCTTAATGAGATGCTGAGAGACTGACTGGTATGTGGATTAATGATTAATGTGACTGTGCACAAATACCTTCTATCCCAAGCACCACACTCCTCCACCTGCCTGAACTTGTTCTCTCACTGAACGATTCCTCCTTTAATTCATCTCACTTCTGCCAAGTGGAAGAAGTGGCCATGGGCACCCACACGGATCCCAGTTACTCCTGCTTCTTTATGGGATATGCAGAACTCTCCTTATTCCAGTCCTACAATGCCCCCTCCCACAACTCTTTTTTTGAATTCTACACCTTCAAATTGCGAACCAACTCCCATTTCTTCCCTTTCTTTTATCTCTACTTTTGTTACATTCCCTGTCACCATGCCCTCTCTCCCCTCCCCCAACCCCAGTGGGATTGTCTGTTCTTTCAGGTTTGGCAGTTAGACACACCGTTGTTCTGCGATCACTTAATCTGAATTATCAACATCTTTTCTCCCCCAGCATTGTACACCCCTTCCCCTCCCCCCCCCCCCACTATAGCATAAATGCTGCCCCCTCCACACTTCATGTCAGCTCTGATGAAGAGTCAGCTAGACTTGAAACGTTAGCTTGCTCTCTCTCCATGGATGCTGTCTGACCTGCTGTGATCTCCAGCATTTGTTGTTTTCAGTTCCTATACTCATTTCTCCCAGTCTCTCTGTTCTTGCACACCCCCAGAATTTCACCCTTAAATTCATTTTGCATCTTCTTTTGAAGTTGATCTTATCCTCATCACTGTTCAAGATACACATTTTGGTATCACCTTCATATATTTAAGTTGTGCCCTGTCCATTTAAGTTGAAGTCATTAATATATATCAAGAGAAGCATTGGTCCCAGTACCAACAATTACCACTATAAACTTTCGTGCAATCTAAAACAGAACAGTCTCTAATTCCTGACACAGTCAAACTCCACACTGCCACTGTCTCTTTTATTCCATTGAGTTTTGCTCTGGTAACAAATCTGTTATGTGGCATTTTGTCCAATATCTTTTGGAAGTCCCTGGATCCACATCAATTGCATTATCACAACCAACCCTCCTGTGAAAATTTTCCATGTCCCGCCTGCTTCTCACTGCTATTATTAACCTGACATTTACCAGATATTCCCCATTTATTGTATGAGGAGGAGTAGCGTGGCTTCATGTGTGCCATGATTGGATAGGGGTGCCACATTCTTGAAGAGGCTGTCTTACATAAGATGGTAAACCCATTTGCCCGCTCGCTTGGATATTATTCAAATAAGATATTCCACAGTATCTTTATGAAATATATACCTGCAACACATATCAGACATCAGTAAGCTTGGCTCGATTCCTGAATAGTAATGATCCATTTGCTGTTTCTGGGATACTCCTGGGACCTCCATCCCTGCCATATTGGCCTGAATTAGTAGCAAGATACTGCAGTCTGACTAGCATTTGCCCTCTGATGAGTTTGACTGTGATTGTGTACATTATGCAGTTGCATTGTTGAGCTCTGCAATGGCCTTACCTCTCAATGATCATCCATAGTAGGTTCCTTCATGAAGGTTGAAATGATAACCCACCCACCCCCTCAACTCTCCTCTCTACTGCTTCTGAGGGAAGAGGTTTAAGCAATGCAAACATTAAATATTTATACAATCTGTTAAACCAATCTGCTACAAAGGTAATGTTTGAACTTGCGAGTATTATTTCTGGAATACAATTAGAGAGTCAGTGTCCTCTTATTTATCAGTTTGGGGTCATTGACTTCCGAGTGAAGATAAATCATGTACTTTTCCATACTAATGAGTGATCTTTCCTTGACATATTAAACTAAAGTTAGAGAGTATAATTAACTGGGAAATGGGGAGGGGGTGTTGATCGAAGAGGTAATTTTAGTGTTAACGCTGAGCGATATTGGATCAGTTGCTCATCATACTCCTGTCTGACTTTCATGACCTTCAGGGCATGGGAATGTAGTGGCATTATTCCCATACTCATAAATGCTGGAGCTCCACACTAATGTTCCAGAGACATGAGTTCAAATTCCATCAGGGCAGCTGGGGAAACTAGAAATAAATTAATTCATAAATCTCAAATCAAAACTAATCTGTTAAATGATCATGAAAATGCTGGATGATTGTAAAAACCCAACTGGTTCATTAATGCTTTTCAGGAGAGAAAATCTGCTCTCCCCACCCAGTCAGGACTATGATGTACATGTACCTGTTAGAATGTATTTCTCAAACTGTTGTCACCAGGCTGTGATGTAGCAGTCCCATAACTCTGAATGCAGCCCAGATCAGATGTATTTGACCGTTATCCCCCTCTGAAGTCTTTAAGTGTCCTTACCTTCAAATAAAGAATTCACATTAATGGGTCACCAGCACTTTGTGTGTAATTGGTACTTTAAGTAAGGTTAGATTAGAAACATCCATTGTCTGTTTTGCTGAACAATGTAGGTGAAGAGAGGATCTACTGGAGGCAATTGAAATTCTGACCGGAAGCGCTTTTACAAAATAAACTGGGAATACAATTTATCCATGTAATGATTCAGGAGTTGGAAAGAAGAGTGTTGATTTATGAACATTACCAAAAAACCCCAGTGGATGTTACAGAGATTGAATATTCTGCTGAAAATATAGAAACCGATTTGAAAATCATTTTAAAATGGAAACAGGCCATGGGCAAAAGGCAGAACAATGAATGATGTGAATAGTTCTTTCGGAGTGTCAATCCCTCTAAATTCCATAGGGGTGAGATTTTCAGGGTTATCCCCTAGTGTACGATGAGTAGAATCAGCTCGCCTGACCGTTACATCTCTCAGCCTGATTTTCACTTCTGTTGAAGTCATTAAAACAAAAAAAAAGGGTGTTGTGTGAAACCAGTGTCTGCTCCAAGATCACATGTTCCATCCTGATGAAAACTCTCTATGGGCCAAATCCTCCGGTTTCCAGGTCATTGGGAAATATGTGTGGGATGAGCATGTACATCAGGCCCTGTAGATTCCTGATACCTGAACCTATGTGGGAATTGTCCAGGAGGTTTAAACTTTCGGTGAGCATTGGTTTTGCACCGCAGTTCCATTTGATAGATCCTCAGTGCAGTCACCTTGGTGAAAGAGACAGCAGGTAGATTTCCAATCACCTTCTTCCTTTTAGGTTGGGATCTAAAGGGCCTGAATGGTCTTGTGGGGTAGAAGGAAATCACTAACTGTCCAAAGAGAAGAGACACGGGTCTTACACAAGATGTAGCTATCGTATGATGGCAATCAGCAACAAGTTATACTTGTAAGATAGACGTGGGGCTGACATTACCAGAAATCGGACAAGTTTCATTTTTGGTGAGATTCATGGAGAGTTTCTCCCTCAAACGCCAATGAGTTTGCTTGCTCTATCGCCCTAAACCTGCCTAAAGACTATCAGGGAACCGAGGAAGATAGGAATGTCCTCTTTAAGATCCTATACAGTTCTGCTTAACACAATACAACACCGGGGGTCTTCAGAGAAGGTCTTGAATTCTGACCTTGAGTCAGAAAATTCAGACAGTTCTACGGTTGCTGCACTGTTACCCAGGAAATGTTAGAGTGGTCTAACACCTCGGTATCTCCACAACTGATACCCAACTCTTTGCATTACTCCTCTGATCTTGTTCCCTCTCTCCCCAAAAACAGATCCCATGGATTTCTCAGCAACTGTCCCAAGCTATTATTGACAAAAAAAAACTCATTAAACTTCATAATCTTCACTTTGCTCATCTTGTCTTGAACCTCCCTCTTAAGAGTCGCTCCAATCATGGAGTAACTCCAAGAGTGCTCCAGTTCTGGCCAATGACATGCCTTTTCTGGGTATACAGTCCCCTGGCCCTCCGAAACTGCACTCTAGTGCTCAGTCACTCACTGTTCACCAACAGCTACCCTCAGTGAACTAAAACTGTCCCTGAACTTTCCTCTGAACTTTAAGCTTGCTCAGTTGCATCCAGCAAATGCTGCTTGGGAACTTTTGTACCTCCACTCTCAGACGTTCTGGGCTGTAGAAGCGGCACATGATTACTGTTGCCCCACATGCAGACAGCTGCCACTTTACCAGCTCACCAGAACTACTTCTGGGTCCCAACTCTAACACTTAGTTGTCTACAAATGCTGAG